TTAAGTTTCTTTCCTGAAGCCAAAGTTCGCTTAGAAAACTGTACGTACACAACCCACCACCCTGAGCTGGGAGTTGGCAGGGCTCTCCATTCATGCCTTCCTCTTGGAGGAAAAAAAGGAAGTCTCGACTTGAAATAGCAAGTAGAAATGCTGTGCTGTTAGTTCTGTTCATGGCAAAAGTAAACACATTTTTGTACAGTTTCTGTATGTTCTATCAAGTGGACCTTTTTACAGTTGCATCAGTCCTGTGGCAGCCAGGGTCAGAAGGCTGGAAGTTAAGGAAAATGGTTCTAAGATCTGCCTGAATGGTTTTGTGAATTTTGGCCTAGAGACTTTGTTTTACAAAGAAGCCTAGAAAATAGCTTGATGAGCCAACCAGAGGCATTGATCTTGAGCACCAGTTTATACAAATCTCTCACGGTATCTTGTTTTTTAAAAACTGTTAATCTTTTTTGAACAGATGACAGTGTACAATACCATGTAGTGAAAATCACTTATTAAATGAAGAAATTGTTAAATCTTCTCAGTGTCGGTTTATCACAACTATCACTCCTGCTATCAGAGGACCTGACTTAGAGAAATAAATCGGTCTGGAAATCCACACATTCTTGGTTTGGATTTGTCTGAGCTGCAAGCACTTGAGGTGTGCTTTTTAAATGGTGTTGATTTGGTTCCAAAGCTTTGACGTGCGTGCTGCCCTGAGACACCAGCACCCTTCCACCAGAGGGAGGTGAGGGCACAGGCACTCAGCTCCCAGACTGCTTCGAGCACTGCTGTGGGTCTGCAGAACTGCAGCAGACAAGCCAGAACTCTGCATCTCAGCATCTGGTATATACTGATCCTGGCGTCTGAGCTTGTGGTTTTGGGGTTTTTGCAGCCTCTGATCAGGGCAGCTGCAGGTCAAGGTTTCTGAGAAGCGCCCAGGCACTGGTTCCCAGAGATGCGTGCGTGGGAGCACTCGCTCAGCTTGGCTAGCATTTATCATCCTACTGTGTGTTCCGAGTGAGCTGTGCCTGGAACAAAAGTACTGTTCTGTTGAGACCATTGACTTGACGAAGGCTGTAGTTAAGGACAAGACCAATTTCCTCTGGTTCTTGAGTTCAAGAACTGTAAATTCTTGGAAGGTCAGTAAACTTCACTGCTCTTCTTACTTTAGCTCATATGTATAACAAAGTCTTGCTAAAGCAACTTGCAATTGGAGGGAATACATGGGTATAGTGCCAGCTGTGGGCATGGCTGTCAGGAATGGACAGGTATACGCTGCTGGTATACGTTCCTTCATCTGTCACCTCCTCTCGTGTACATTGTGGGAGCACTGCCAAGATTTTTAGAAGGTGAGTGGCTTATTTGCTATCACCAGGCTGCTCTAAAACTGCTGCGGTAATGAGCTGCGAGGTGCTCGGGGTCTGGTTAGTGTTCAGTTTGTCACTGAAATGTACGGCCCAGATAAACCAGCTCTCTTCTGGGACTTCAGTTAGCAGATGAGTTTCTGCTCCCTTCTCCTGGAGTAAGCTGATTTTTACATTTTCTAATGTATTTCTCTGCTAAACCCAAACCTTTTTTCTACTCTGAAGATCTTTTCCTTCTAAAACATTAATCAAACCATGTCATGGTAGCTTCTGATGAGCTCATTAGATCAGGCGTCAGATTGCCTGGTACACGGCTTTCTCACAGATGTACTTTCACCCTCCTAAATCACATTTGTGGTATCCTTTATAGCTTTATATTCTTCTGCCACCTTATAAAATAGTCACCCATCTTTTATTGATCTAGTTAATAGAACTGGTCTCATGGTCTCTTACTAACTTGTAGCTAAAGGAACTCACTAACCCAGCTCTGCAATAGCTGTCATTAGCCAGCCACTCTGCATGTCACTGCGTCACACCTTTTTCCTCTGCCTTTCTGCCCTCAGATGTGGTTTTAGTAACACAGCTGCCTATTCTGGGCTCCGTTTTCTGCTTGACTGCATTCCTCCGTGCTGCTTCACGCACCTTGGGTTCAGCAGCTGCTCGGAGCAAAGGAAGTCCCACGGCACGATAGTGGAGGTGGGGAGAGGTTCCTGTACCGCTGCCATGAGGCATGGAGGAGAGAATGTGCTGGTCTTGTGTCAGGCTGAGATCAAAACTTCACAGGCAGGGGGTGTTTTGTGCCCATTGCTCTGGGCCTGCTGTTTGGGCTGGGCTTCTTGATCATTGGAGGGAGAGAATGAGCAGCAGCTGCTGATATCCCATTGTTTTTTTGTAATGATACCTGTATGAACATCTAGTTCGCACACCAAATTTAACAGAGCATAACGTAAGCTTCCTGTGAGACCCTTTCCTCCAGAGCAAGTTGCAAGGGGAGAGCTGTAGCAGGGTGGCTACCAGACCTTGCTGAAGATCACACAAGGCAGCAGGAAAGTTGTAATAAACCTAGGTTCTCTTGAATCCTCATCTTGTACCTTTCGCAGTAGGCCAGTGTAGTTTAATTTAAATGCGTTAATTAATAATCTGGAGAAGAGGGATAGTCAGTAACATCTCAGGCACTACTGATGTGGATGTGGTTCTAGACAGCAGGGTGGATGTTTCATTTTTCCGAGGTGGTGCAGGAGCTCCCTGTGCGCTGCACCGTTGGCTCACGAGGCGCCATGTAAAGCAGCTCGTATTCAAAGCAGGGCCTTGCAAAGCATGAATGACCCTAAGCATGTTCTCCTTGGGGACCTGGGGCAGCTGTTCAGTTCACAAGGTGATGCTTGAGCTCTTTGCAAGTGCTCTGGTTGGGAAAAAAAAAAAAGCCCTTCCTATTTCTGTTGCAAAGAGGGACTTGCACCTCATCCTCAGAAAACATTTTCAAGCAGCTTTCTGGCCTCTTATTTTCATGTGCATTCGCTTTTAAGAAAGCTTTTTCATTGTAAGATGCAGTTTAACCGCTTCCTCATTCCCCTGGCTGCTTTCTATCCCCGTTCCCTTTGCAAGTGGCCGGGGCTGACACCCAGCTGCAGGGCCCTGGAGGTGCTGGAACGCAGCTGCCCTGGGGCTGGTGCCAGCCTCCTGCCTTGGGGCATGGCCTTGGGCTTTCTGTAGCAGGGGCACAGCGCCCTGACACCAGCATCCCAGCACTGAGAGGCTCATAACTGCGATTAACCTCCCGAAAAGCATTCTGTTACTCTAAGAGGAGGCGTGAGAAACAGTAAAGAAGCTCAACATTTATTTGAGTGACTGCCTTCAGCAAAAGCCACTGCGCATGGGCAGCAGCTGGGTCCTCACCTGAGCTTCCACCAGCAGCATCTCCTCCGGCATTGACGGGCCTCCAGTGCAGCCCCCGGAGCTCTTTGTAAGCATACCAATTTCTGGGTTATTTTATTTAAGCTCTGGCTTCAGGTCTGTGATCACCCCTGTAGTTGATTCAGCTCGTGGGGAGCAGCAGCTGGCTGTGTGCTCCTTAAAAACTACGCTTGGGCCCGCCGAGCTCTCGGGGGGTAGGTCTGCAGTTTGTAATTCCAGGCCGGAGCCGTTGCCTTTTCCCACTAGCTGATGGTGTTGGTGTTTTCGGGAGTCAGCTGAGGCCAAAACGCCTAAATGAGCTGGAAACTCCCAGCACAAAGCTCCTCCTCCCTGCCCTGCTGCAGGCTTGCTCCTCCGCTGTCCTGCGCTGCCCGCGTCCGGCTGAGCTCTGCAAGTAGGTGCTTGGGGGAAGGTTTTTGGGGTCAGGGCTTGTGGGCTCCGTGTGGGCATTGCCCACGCACTTCCCCCAGGAGGAGCACGTGGGTGGGCTTCAGTGCTGGAGGTGAGAAAACTTTCCTGTTCCAGGAAAAGTTTTAGGCAGTTTTCCAGGTGGAAATCTCTTCCAAGATATGGGGATCTTTAGGCTTTAAAAGTGTAAAAATGAAGAGCCAACCCCTTTGGGAGGGAAGGACTGGAAAGGTTTCAGGAAATGTTTCAGGCTTCTCGCAGCACAGAGCTCCCCGATCCTTTTTTCAGCTGAGTTTTCTCAGCGCACTTCCCAAAACAGCTCGTGTCTGAAGGAAGGAGGGGATCCCTGAATCCAGCCCTGTGCTGGAACACAAACCTATTAACAGACGGGTTAATCGTGGCCTAATTTCTCAGCCTTCCACCTTTGAAATCCTTCCGATGCCGGGACCTTCACCGCTGGCTGAGCTCTGCTCCCAGGCTCCCTTCCACGCCCGCCCTGAACGGCGGCTTCTCGCGAAACCAGTGTGGGACTGACCAAACCCAGATTTTTTTCCTTTAAAAAAATAACAAAGCTGCCATCCAGCCGGCGTCTCCTGTTCCAGCAGCTCCCACTAACGGACACGTCGGAGCCCAGCTGGGGAAAAAGCTGCACAAGCAGCAAAATGTCGGCACGGGGGGAGCGGGGCCCGGGCAGGGGACGGCGGGGGCCCGGGAAGGAGCAGTGAGGAGCGGGGGCGGCCTCGGCTCAGCGGTGCTGGGAGAGCCGGGATGGGGCCGTGGTTCTCTGCTGGCATCAGGAGTGGTTTTGGGGCAGGGTTTGTGGCTGGGTTGCCCAGAAGAGGAAGGGAGAAGCCAGCGGGGCTATGGAAGGGGAGCGTGGGTGCAGATGGAGCCTCGCCCGCAGCCGTTCTCAGCACCGAGCTGCAGCTGAATCGTCTGCGGGTTTGGGGTGGGGGCTGCAACGTTAAGGAAGGGAAATGGAGGCTGCTTGGCGTGGGGTGGTGGCTCTGGGTTTGACATGGAGCTGCTACAAACAGCAGCGCGGGGGCTGAGGAAGCAAACAGAGGCCAGAAAACTTCCAGCCTCCATCCTCCAGCCTCCGTCGATCCACGTCTAACACAAACGCGCCGGCTCCTTCCGACAGAAAATCGGCAGCCGCCTCCTCTCGCATCACGAGACGCGAGATCAGGGCCGGCGTTTTCGTCCTGCAATTGCTGTTTTGGGGATGTTTGCAAATAGCTGCTGAGGAAGCGCCGCAGCGCTCGGCACCCCGGGGAGGGCGGCGGAGGCTCGCGCCGTGGGAGGTGATGCAAAGCGAGCACCGTGTAGCAACTTCCCGTCAGCAGGGCTGGTCCACGGACTTCGTCTTCTCAGCCAAGTGTCACACTGTCTTGTCACGCTCACTGCGGTGGCGCAGGGGACATCTCGTGTCCCCGGCCAGCCCTGCTGTCCCTGGGGAGCTGAGGCTCCGCTCTCGTCCTGCAGGTGCCGGCAGGGGGATGCCCGCTTGAGCCCGAGCCATGTCCAGGTACCTGAAGCACTTCACGGTGGTGGGGGACGACCCCGTGCAGTGGAGCAACGACTATCAGAAATGGGAGGAGGAGGAAGAGGAGCATGGGGGGAAGCAGACGGACTCGGAGATCAAACTGGAGCCCTCCCGGAGCCAGGTCTCCTTCCAGGATGTGATGAAGAAGCTCTTCAGCTCGCACAGGTTTCAGGTGAGGCAGAACAAGCCCAGGCAAAAGGGAAACGAGGGTGAGGCTTGGCCCAAAGGTGCCCATGAGAGCAGAACCAATACAGTGTGAGGCCAAGGGCTGGGAATGGTGCTGAGCTCATGAGTGCCATGCACTGGAGTGAGCGCAGATGTCCCCTGAGCAGCAACAAGCCTCGTGGTGGCACAGGGACACAGGGCAGGGTCCAGCCAGGTCCCCTGGGCAGACACATGCAGGGCGAGGGGGGGCTTTTGGGGATGTTTTGCTGAAGGCAGTTGACTCGTTGTTGCCAGGAGGGATTCATGTCAGTTCTTTGCCAACAGATCGTTATTGTCTGCTTGGTCATTGTGGACGCCTTGCTGGTCCTCGGGGAATTGCTTATGGACTTGAAGATCATCCATCCGGACAAACATCACATAGCCCCAAAGGTAAAGGGCAAGGAAGAGGCGATGGGAGCTGTTATTTCCCTCTCTGCTGGGGGGCCCTGGAGAGGTGCTTCCAGCCTGCCCTGCTCACAGGCAGGTGGGAAGGGGTTCCCAGCCCTAAACCTGTGCTCTCTCTTCCCAGGTCTTTCACTACCTCTCCCTTTCCATTTTAACCATCTTCCTGGTTGAAGTGGGCTTTAAAATCTTCGTCTATGGCCGGGAGTTCTTCCACCACAAGTTCGAAGTGCTGGACGGCATCGTCGTCGTCGTGTCGTTCATCCTCGACATCGTCCTCCTCTTCCGAGAGCACGAGTTTGAAGCTGTCGGGCTCCTGATCCTGCTGCGGCTGTGGCGCGTGGCCAGGATCATCAATGGTAGGCACACAGCGGCGGCCGGGGCGCGTGGGCTGGGTCTGTCTGAATTACCCGGGCTCGCCTTTCCCTTCCCCTCTCAGAAGAAGAGAGCAGGGTTCAGTTCTCCCAGCGAACTCCGGGTTTTCCCTGTGTGTTTTTCATTGCTGGAGCATGGCCTCAGTGGGGCTGTGACTTCTCTGGAGCAGCAGCAACCTGCTGCTTGCGTGGGCGCAATGTGACGGGCTCGCGGAGAGCCCCTGCTTGAACCCAGCAGTGCGTTCCCCTACGAGCACCCAGACGCCGTTCCTGCATCTCTCCCTCCGGACGGGGGATGACGCACACCGTGCCTTTGCGTCGTAGGCTCCTCTTGGCTGTGTTTGAACGGGGAGCAAGGTGAACTTCTGCGGCAGAGCGTGGGTTGGAGCGCTCTGACGTTCTGCTGAGGCTGTCATCCCCCCCAGGGATGCTGGAGGGAACGTCCTGATCTTACTCCGGGTCTTCCTCGCTTGGATTCAAAGCGCTCTGTAACGATAGGAATACAAAATGTCCCCAAATCAGGCTTTGCTGTTGTAATTGGGAATGGTTGTGGTTAGTTGTGAATTCAGACACTTCTGAATTTATTGTAGCTGGAACCGTGCTTTACCTTCTATGAAAAGTTGCTTGGGGGGTTAAAAAAATAATGTGGCTATGAGATTATCCCTAATTCCCGAGTAAAAGCGCAGCCCAAGTATAGCCTGAGCCCTTTCTTTGGAGAAATGAGCCCCCAACCTGCAGGCCTGCTGCCTCTGGCACTGGAAACCCAGGCAGGTGTTTCCTTCTGGTGCCGCTTTAACGCGTGTTGTTCTGTAAACAGCCAGAGGAGAGCTGTCAGGTAGGAGGAACGTGCTGTTCTTGATGCTCTTTCCAAGCGATTTTTTTTTCCCCCCTCAGAAAAGGGTGGGAAGAAATTGCTTTCACTGTGGGAGTTGAGTTCACGTGTAATAACCTAGGAGTAAGGCGGGAGAGAAAGTGACACCTCCACCGCAGTGAAGCTGCATTGCCCTTGCTGCAGAGCTGCACAAGGTGAAGCCAAAGCCGTAGGGGCCCGGTGAGGAGCGGGTTGGAGGGGTGCGATGTCCCCGTGCCTCCCGTGGAGCCTCAGCCCTTCGCTGAGCCGTGCTCTGCTGTTGGAGCAGGTCCCCGCTACGTGAAACCTGCCAAAACGCGGCCCCTCGCTGCAACAAAGCCGCCGGTTACATCCCCCCTGGCTCTACCAAGGGAGCGAATTCAGATTCAGGGTTTGAATGACAGTTTGAGTGATTAATTCAGCTCTGAGGCCAGACTGCCTCTTCCCAGCAGGGTATCAGTATCCGAATCCCTGGGGTGGCTAATTTAAAAACCTCCTCATTAAGGAAAGCACTTGGGAAAGGTGGTTTAAAGAAAACAGAATGAGAGCTCGAGAGGAACAAGGTTAACTCCTTGAGCACAGACCCTGTGTACTGCTAACCTCCTGCTAGTGGCTGTTCTACATTGTAAAATGAATCCTCTGGGAATTGTCTCACAGGTATAATTTTATCCGTAAAGACCCGCTCTGAACAACAAGTGTCCAAGCTAAAGCAAGCAAACCTGAAACTTGTGACAAAGGTGGAACAACTGGAGCACAGCTGTGCAGAGAAGGTAAGAAAACACTTTTAATTTAACCACGATTTACCTGCCAGCTGCTCTTAAGGACAAGCTGGCCTGGGATCCTTTTGCAAGCTTGTTGCTCTCAGCTTGGTTTCCTCATCAGCAAGTTGTGGGGTAAGCCGGGCCGAGGAACCGCAGCCTTGTCTGTCCTGCCTGTGCTTCCCTGAGCTGCTTCTGTTGCAAAGGAATGACGGCTACCTCTGTCCTACTTTAGCCAGGTTGTCCTGTTTTGCTGCAGTGAAACACACTTCAGCAATGCGAAGATCTGTGGGAACTTGGGAAACGATTTTAAGGTCAGAACTATATTAATGTTAAAACTTTTGTCTCCAACAGGAGCGAGAAATCGAGAGGCTTAACAAGATACTAAAACAGCACGGACTCACCAGTGAACCAAAATAGGAGGCCGGTTTTCCAAGGCAGGGAAGTCTGCAGAGTGCAGTGTTGAAACAGAAACATACCAGTTTGACCTGAAAGGTTTTCCTATCTGCTTGCTTTCTCTTGTACAGCACTGTCTATAAATGTTTTCTATTTGACCACGCTTTGATTAGATGTTGGGATTGCAAAAACAGCTTTACTGGAAAATTAAACACACACACTCCCAGTAAACAGAGATTTCATAAGACCTTTTTTGTACAGTTGTACAGTAAAAAATGCAAAATAATTTAATAAAGACACATCTTTACAAGCTATACATCTAGGAAGTACCACTCATTTCAAGTAGTTCCTTTTTTGTGTGTGCGCGTGTGATAAGGTTTTTTGTAACATCTTGTAGAAACTTGTAGTACAAGTGATATGAATCCGGACTTAAAAGGTCGCTTCTCCACCAGCTGCCTGTTCATCGCTACGTCTCCTCTTTGCCAGCCATCGTTTCATGTTGTTGGTAGTTTCCTCATTTCTGTTGATGCTTCTGCCACTTCATTATTTATAAAACGTTCATTTCCAAAAATACCAACAGACCACTCCTTTAGCTGACAGTCAAATCAGCACCAAAATAGAGGCAAACGCATGCCATCTTACGTCAAACAATGCTTGATTCTCAACAGCAGATCTGAATTTTGATACTGTATTATTTCTTTTTCCATTTGTGTGTTCATCTGCAGCCTGCTGAGCTACAAAGTCATCTCCTTCCACAGCTCATAAATCAACACATTAAAAGAATTAGAATATGTAAGAACAGATGTAGGTAAGTAGACTGCTGGGAACAGTTAAGATTCCAGAAAAAAAAAATAAATTAGGAAACAAATTCTAAAGGACTGGGCTGATATTTGAACACAATGTGAACTTTTCCAGGTACTAGAAAGTTTTAGAGTTGAAGAGTGAGATTCAGTGAGTGGGGATTTCAAAAGGTGTTGACTGTAGCAGGCAGCTCCAATTGATTCCAGCCAGTGCCAGCTGGAAGGGTCACTGAGCTCTTCTGAAAGCATCACTTAACTGTTCAGATTTTTAAAAGAAAGGCAATTAATTAGTGGTTTGGGGAAAATAGCTAGAAATATGTGGCTTATTCATCTATGGAAATAGATAAAGCAGAGGCCTTATCTAATAGCACATGATTAATTAACAATTTAGCTCTGCTGTTTGCAGAATAATGAAGCCTCGCTTCCTACGGAGCTGTGCTGTGTCCCTGCGCTCTTCCCCCTTCTGCCTGCGTGTAGGTAGCTCGGACTGGCACTAGGTCAGAGCACCCAGCATGATGGGAGGCTGGTGGCTGTACGTGCGCCGACTGGCCAGCCTGCAGCCACCATCAGGTCATCCTGCAACCTTCTTCCTCTCAGCAGAAGCATAACTTGGGAACTTTCTACTAATTCCTTCTTTTTGTTGTTGTTTTCCTCTTCTCCCCTCTCCAGAAGCTTTTGAGAACCCTTGCAAGTTCTTACCCTTTCTCTCTTGGCCATTTTTGACCCAGCGTGCATATAATTTGGAAGAAACTGATGGGCCAACACAGTGACTGGATAAACCTTGCTTCTTTAAAAAACAGATTAAAAATCAGAAAAAGCAGAAATGCAGCTTTTTTTGGTTTTGCTTTTTTTTTCCCATGGACACTTACCTTAGACAAATGGAAAGAAAAAATCAAAAGGTAATTTGGCATTAATGGTGGGCCAAGCTTTATAGCCTGGCTCTGCAGGTGAAGAAATATCCGTGAAAACAACAGAGCTTAGAATAGGAATAGTCCTTTCCCTTCCTGAGGGAAGCTGCAATGAAAACACAAATGGGCATTAGCTTCACTCTTCTCTTTATGTGACTGCTTTGTTGAAACCAGGTCATATTTTTTTTGCTGTTATTTGTAATAGGAAAAATTTGTAATTTTTTTCATGTATAGTTTCTCATTTCTTTTCATGACTGATATATTAATTTTATTGAGAATTATGTTTTGGCAAACAGCCCACAGTTGTGTTTGAATTACAACAGAAACTGTTAGGTACAATCTATTCTAATATGAAATGTTACTTTTAGATAAAGAGATTAACTGGGTCACTGTTGCACAGCTGATAGCTAAGCAAAACAAGCCATTCTTTTTATCTTGAATCTTGTAATTTATTTACATACCTGCTTCAGTGTGGTGGTAGTGGTTGTTGCTGTAACAGTTTACTATTCTGGCTTGTGGATTGACTAGGGATCCGTATTTAGTCCACTTCACTTCTATTTCGAGTGATACTGGTATTTGGCAGGGGCTCTGAAAAGTGTTATAAATTCTCTCATTGTCTGACTTGTACAGGAGTAACCGCATTACTTATTCATCTTATTAAATTGGCAGAATGCCCCCAGAAAGCCTACTCCAGGAGGTTACCAGAGCTCCTAAGCCACTGCCTCTGAAGGCAGCGTGCGTGTTTACAGCCTTGGCCCTGGGGTGTCCCTGAAGTTTCACCATAGGCGACCAACTGACTGTAACTGCACGTTAGGCAGGATTGTTCTACACCAGCAGCAGCAGGACTTTGGCTCTTAGTGACAGGACTGAGCTGGCTCTTTTTAGCAGGAAGGCTTCTCTAAAAGAGATGAATTTCAGTAATGCCGTTGGGACAGGAGAATACCTTTAACTTCACCAAGACAATTTTGAAGCCTACAACCTTAAATATGTTTAGATACTTCTTTTTGAACTGTCAACTTTCTGTTTACAGAAATCATTTGCTGTTTAGCTGCAAAAAACATGCAGGAAACCTCTACGCAAGCTGTCATGTAAGGGGTATTCAGCCTACTCTAACCAGCACTTCAACTCTCACTCTACAGCAAGAGTAAAATTCCTCACTTTTGATTACTGCAGGAGGATTGTCCCCCACTTTGTTTCTACATTTTTTTCCAGTAGGTCTGAGAAGCCCAAGCTGATCATGCAGTAGAGGTACAGATCCTAGGAGAGAGGACAGTAAGAGTGATGGAGAGGGGAGGAGAGTTAACTTTCACCTGTTCTGAGTTTTGGAGGTGAATTATTGGCACCCAGTCATGCACATTCTCAGCTTGAGAATTTCCAAATGAGGCCACGTATTCAGGAAAGCTTTGTCCCTTCAGTAAATCTAGGAGGGCCTGAGTCAAGGGCTGGCATTTCACAGCTGCTGTAACTCTTCCAGGAGGAAAAAAAAAAAAAAGTTAAAGCAAAACCCATTGGTTTGGCACAGTAGTAATTCCTCCTTGCTGTCACGCACTGTTCAGGCTTTCTGGCTACAGTTGCTAATGTACACAATCTTTTCAAGAGAAAGAACACTGTTAATTAAATGACGTTTGTTATAATTAAGTACTCCTACAGCTGTATGAACGTCCCAGGATCTGAACAGATCCTAATGGGGCTGAAAGCACTGAATCAAAAGAAGAAAAAAAAAGTCCTCTTACCGTAACTTACAGCCTGATATCATGTTGTAACCAAACAGCACCGGGGTTCTGCCCCCCTGTGCTGCGAGGCAGTCCTGGTTGGATGTACTCTGCAGAATGGTGAGTTGACCATATGCGTTGGTACTCTGAATGATGCCAGATGTAACACACAGTTAAAGGGAAATTCACTACTTGATGTGTATCATGAAGAAAGAATCCATAGTCAGATCCTTAAAATATATCTGAAAATAAATCTGAAAATGCCATAATAGCTGAAGGCTCCTCTTACAATGTGAAGAAGCACTAGAGTGCATAATGAAGGTCAAAATCTACTTCACAGCCAAAAAGCTTTTTTGTAAAGAACAGATAAAATTTATAGATGTCCATGCTAGAAAGTCTTTGTGAAGATAGACCAGAACAAGTGATGAAAGCAAAACTGCAATGGGGAAAGGATATTTCTGTGGCTTGAAACCTGCTCTTACAGGCAGTCCAGCAACATAACCAGGGTTGCCACTGAGAGGAACTGGCTTTGTATTTACCTGCAACACAGATTTACAGTATTAGTTCTTATCCTGTACTGAAACGCTTGGAAAACACAGAAATATCGCAGTTATCTTAGGGTTATTAACTGTCTTGAACAATGACAGTAGAAAAACCTCTGTAAGATTGCAGCAGTTCTCTAATACTGGGGCAGGCTTTGCTTTTACTGGATGTCCTTGTGCAGAATCACAAGATGACTCTTCTAAATGTGTAAAAATAACTTTGGAGGCCTTTAATGCCCAGTTCTGAAATGCTGCCTCATTGATGTAGCCAAGGCAAGTTACATTTTACCTTGCTGCTAACAATTGTTCTGATTCAAGTTTAATAAGTTTTGTAATTAAATGTCTTTCAACAAGTCATCCATAACATCTCTAGCAGTTACCTGAGTAAAGCTGATTTCAAAGCTCTGTTGTACTGAAAGTGCTTCTTTGTTAATTGCCCCCAAGACAAAAGAAGCAGCTGCTTCTATTATTTCTCCTGCATCTGTGTATGTAATATGATAACTCACCTGAAAATTAAACATTTTAGATATTAATTAGAACAAGTAGATAAGAGTATGAAACTAGAATAAAGGAATTTAAAACTACGTTAAGTATTGTTTTCTTTCTTCCTTGCTTAAGAGACACTCAAAGGCATTGTAGAGATGTACTATATCCTCAGCTGCAATAAGGATGGGCCCAGAAAACCAGAGGAATTGAACAGGAGGAGCTTTCCCCTAAAAATGAAGAAGCATGGGTTGGAAATACTGCTTACTTATTCTATTTTGCAAGTCATTGCCTGCCTGCAGAGGGAGACAGTTTCAAGACCACAAAAAAAGCTGTGGTCTGATCATGACAACACTTGCGCAGAAGTTAGTAGCTGTGTTGGCACATTTACGTGTAGAGGACATGACTGTTACCAAATCAAGCTGCTGATTAGCAATGGTCAAAAGCAGATCTAAGGTTGGAGCCTCTTCAAAACTGACTTCTTCCAGGTGGAATCCTAACATTCATCTACTTAAGATAAAAGATGAGATACTTTGCACTGTGTTCTCTGTCTCTGCCACCACTGTGCCTTGTCATCTTCTCCCAAGCATAATGTGGATTCTAACTCATTGTCTGTTATGTCATATCCATAGAGCAGTAATAGAAAAGGATTTCATGGTCTGCACATTATGTTGTATATAGTTATTATTTGGTTGCAAAACGCATTCTTTTATCCCAAAGTCAGTGTTTCCCCTGTGAATGTTTGCTTTGGAGATGTCACAATATATGGAAACTGCAAGGCCTCTCTCATGTCTTTGAAATTTGTGAATCAGAAGTGATTTGATGCACACATGCTTTCCATTAAACAAAAGGGAGAAAAAGAAATGTTGTA